GTTGTGTGGATTTGGAGAACTTTATGTTAGATCCTATTTAGACCTCTGAATCAGCAATAAGGAGAGGAAGTAACCTTCAAACTCAAATGTAAAACAAGTAATCTTATAAAATAGAAAAGGACAGGGAAAATTTAAATATTTTTCTCTCTTGTCTGATTGGTAACATAAATATTGTCAGGTTCTAAAATATTCTGAATGTTAATGACCTCATAAAATAAAATTTTAAATTTTAAATTACTCCAACATTAGGTAATAGACGAAGATTCACTAACCAGTTTCTTCCAATGAATAGTACAGTTCTTCCCATGCAAACCAAACATCTTCAGCTCTCCAGCTTCCTTTGGCCATTTTTTTGCTTGGACTCTGATAACTTACCCCTCTACTGATCTAGGATAGCATCCTTAACTCCCCCATAAGTCTCTATGCTTTTCCCTCTCTCCCTTCTCTTATTATTCTGGTGAGACAGTGTGTTTTGCTATTAGATTACTTTTATTTGGGGTCACCAGGAAATGAGTTATGACTAATTAAAGAATTTCAAGAACACTTTAACTTTTTAAAAGCATACTATTGATGAAAAAACTTTACAAACTATATCACATATTCCCATGCCTTAGTTAACAATGAACTGACAAAATTAAAATAAAAATTTTTTAACAAAGTATTCATGTAGAGTGCTATCTTGGAAATTGAGTTTCATAGGATCAATTTACATTTATTTATTATTTAACAATGATTTATCGACCAACCATTATATTCCATACACTCTCCTGTGTCTTTATATTATATTACTTTTGAGTGCATGATACTGAGATCACATAAAATTTCTAACATATGAGAACTGAAAAATACACATTTTCTTTATATTAAACCTTTAAAATAACTTTTAGAAAATGAGACAGAAAAATACAAAAAATGCATTCAAAATTCCCTGAAGTTTGACATATTTATAAGATTTGTATTCAAGCTATTTTATTTGATTTTCATCATTCCAGCAACTTTTACAATTCCCATGCAGAATCAAACCCAGATGTAAAACAGATGAAAGTGAAAAACTTAACTGAGGTTGATAGAATAATTGTAGCAAAGACCAAAAATATCGCTACAATGAAAGGAGCTTTTCCCTGTGTTTCCAAGAATAGACTGTAGTTGACTGAATGTAAACACAGGGGACACTTTCACACTCTTCAGCTGTGTGGGGCTGCAGACAAGGAGAACAAGACAAGTGGGTAGTATAGCATGTCTTCCTGGGAGGCTGAGCAAAACAAAGCTCATTGATGGACTGGACAAGGATTAACTGAGGCAGAACCACTAGTTCCTCTGATAAAGACCCAATTTTGGCCGGCGCCATGGCTCACTAGGCTAATCCTCCACCTTCGGCACCAGCACCCTGGGTTCTAGTCCCGGTTGGGGCACCGGATTCTTTCCCGATTGCTCCTCTTCCAGTCCAGCTCTCTGCTGTGGCCCAGGAAGGCAGTGGAGGATGGCCCAAGTGCTTGAGCCCTGTACCTGCATGAGAGACCAGGAGGAAGCACCTGGCTCCTGGCTTTGGATTGGCGCAGCGCACCTGCCGTAGTGGCCATTTGGGGGGTGAACCAACGGAAGGAAGACCTTTCTCTCTGTCTCTCTCTCTCACTGTCTAACTTTGCCTGTCAAAAAAAAAAAAAAAGACCCGATTTTAATGTAAACTATTTTTTCAGATTTTATATATTTATTTGGGAGGTAGAGTCACAGACAGAGAGGGAGAGACAGAGATGGTTCCATCTGATGGGTCATTCCCCAGATGGCTATAATGGCTAGAGCTGATCCGAAGTCAAGAGCCAGGAGCTAGGAGCCAGGAACCAGAAGCTTCTTCCAGGTCTCCCAAGTGGGTTCAGGAGCCCAAGCACTTGGGCCATCTTCTACTGCTTTTCCAGTGCATAGCACAGAGCTGGATTGGAAGAGGAGCAGCCAGGACATGAACCAGCTCCAATATGGGATGCAGGCACTGCAGGAAGAGGGTTAGCTCACTATGCCACAATGCCCACCCCTAGTGTAAACTTGGATCAATTGCAAAGAGCAACTGACAAATTTTCAGTTGTATAATCAAAGCCAATTAGAAAATAATTGGCTGTTGGTCATTGAGTGTGGGAAAAGAGCTGTATAAACCAAAGGCTGAGTGAAGAAAGAAATGTGGGGAACAGAAAGTAGTTCCACATGATCAGGGAATAGGATGGTTAAAAGATGAGGCTAAGGGAGGTACACAAGAGCCAGGTCAAAAGGGTCTTGTAGGCAACTTTATAGGAAGTGTAATGAAGAGCTACTGCAGGCTTAAGTAGGGGAATGACATGATCAGATTTGCATTGAAAGATGTTGGGTAACAGTGTGAGAGCAGAAGAGAGAGGGTGGCTTTAGAGGCCAAGGCTATTCACACACACCACCACACCTCAGGCAACAGGGCCTGATGATTTAAATGAGGATTTTGGATATGGGAATCAGAATAAGTAGACAGGTTCCAGAGACATTTGGGAGGCTGAAACATTACAGCTTGAAGTTGAACAATTTGAGAGATGTGTCCAGAATAATGCCTTTATGATTTCTTGGATAACCAGAAAAATGGTAGTGGCCATTCCCAGAGATTGGGCAGCAAGAAAACAGGCTTGGGAAAAAGAGAGAGGTGATGAATGATTGAGAACACAATTAATTAGGAAATATGCACATGGAAAGGCACAGGCACTGTCCATGAAGGTTTGGAACATAACTGGGAAAGATACGCTGATGGTAAACTAGAAAAAGCTACAGTATTTGAAAACATATTAATGCAAGCTGTGGGGTCAGCACTGTGGCTCACTTGGTTAATCCTCTGCCTGCAGCGCCAGCAGCCCATATAGGAGCCGGGTTCTAATCCTGGTTGCACCTCTTCTAGTCCAGCTCTCTGCTGTGGCCTGGGAAGGAAGTGGCGGATGGCCCAAGTGCTTGGGCCCCTGCACCCGCATGGGAGACCAGGGGGAAGCACCAGGCTCTTGGCTTCGGATCGGTATAGCTCTGACCATAGTGGCCATTTGTGGGGTGAACCAACGGAAGGAAAACCTTTCTCTCTGTCTCTCTCTCTCACTATCTGTCAAAAAAAATTGCAAGCTGTATTTCACCATAAATATTTACTTTTGTTTCTAACATTACTGCTTCTATGAAATTGCACATAAAGCACTTAATAAGTCTAGCTTCTGGCCTTTTTATTATTGAATCTACCTTGATTAAGAACATATTAGAACTCAGGCAAATTTGAGTTGCAATGTCTATGTCCTATCTGGAACTTTAAAAGGCAGAGCTAAAATATATAAATGTGTGGCACATGTGAGAATTGACATCTAAACCTAATATTTAACTATAATTTGACAGTGTTTTATCTAACTATTGGTCTGGATGGTGTTGATATTTTGCATGTTAAGGAAAAGTTTTTTAAGAGAATTAGAATTTCTCAAAATATCTTTAGTTCAAAAATAAGTTGCTGGTGGCTAAAATCTGTTTGATTAAGTCCACAAAGATATAATTTGATGAAATTAATCAAGTAAGTTAATGTTCTCTAGGCAGTTGTTTGCTGCCAATGTGTAAATCATTGTCTATTAACTTATTAAATTATTGTTTTATGAATCTTCTTCAGGACTATATACAAATTCAATGTTTTGTCAATATCAATCCCCTACTGGTGGTTCTAACAAAGAATTCTCTTTCTGGGACAAGTCTTTTTCCTTGGGGAAGTAAATAGAGTCAGTGATTTACTGATAAATCCACCCAGTATATACAACATCTCTGTCCCATATATCAATGTCATGGGCAACAGCTTGCATTACTAAGTGATTCTGCAGTGTCTTCTCAGAGACTTTTTTGTTTAGTAATCAGATCAAAGTGTCAACATGAATACTTTTTAGCTTTGTATAAATTGTTTTTATCTTTAATAGCACAATTAGTTCAGAGACACTTTCATGGAATGATTTCCACTTACTGTTGAAATTTTATCCTACCATCTTGGTCTACTCAAAAAAAGAAGTTAATTTGTGTATCAGTCATGTGCACCTAAGCATTGATTATTTGCTAAGCACAGTATTTAAAACTGAGTGTTATTCTTGTTACCAGTTAGAAGAACTCTCATATTTCAGTCCCTGCTAACTGATGAGTTTTTAATTTGGTGCTAATTATCTAAACAATTTGGAAGGCTAGATGGCTTTTCTGTTTTGTGCTATAAAGTGGCATCAAATATTCTTTCTAAACCCTTGAACATGGATTGCAAAACTAATGAGTGATAGCTTTGTGGAAATTTACATGGGGGGTAGGAGTGAATAGAAAACCGTAAAGGAAAAGGGTCCCTTTGATGATGACTGACAGATAATGACAGAGCTTTCCATTTTGGTTTTTAAAAAGGAGGTTTTACAGAGTTCAGTTTAACATCTTTGTAAGCTGATCCTGGAAAGGACTTTAGGAAGACGATTGGAAGGACACAGATTTTTTTTTTTTAAATAAAGCATTTAAGAGAAAGGAAAGTTTTTTAAAATGACATTTTAAAAAGAGGTTATTGATTTTCTTCTTGTATTTGTGATGCAGGCATTTTAGCGAGTACCATTCAAACCGTGCCTCTGCAGAGGCATGTTGTGCTATGTACATAATCTTCAGGAAGGAATTCTACTTGCAGCATATTTTTCTTCAAAGGCTTTGCATTTCTGCATAAAAAGCTTATTAATTATTTGTAGCTGCTTGTCATTGTGTTCTGATAATAGAAGGCTGGTCAAGGATAATAATTATCACTTCACCTTTTTGGATCATATATATCCACTATTCCTAGTGCAATATTACCCAAAGCATCTCTCCTCTCCCTGTACACAGGACCAAAAGTGCAGGCACATCATTTATTGATAAGACAAAAAGAATGTAATGAAATTATCAATGTTCTTGAATTAATTATGAACATGATTAAGAAAGCTAAAATCTCAGGAGCCAGGATCTCATTACCCATTCAGTCTTAGGGATTGCTTTCATTCAGCTAGGCAAAAAGGCTTTGAGCAGCCCCACAATTGCCTTTCTCTCATTTATTTGTGATAGAATTAAGGTTTATTTGTTTTCTGTTTTCTTCTTCTTCAGATTGTTTCTCTGTATTTATTCATTTAGCAAACTGTTTCTTCCTGCATCTCAGAAAGATGCACCTATAGGGCCTACATCTCTGTCTGCAGTCTGCACACCTTCTTTTGAGTGCATTTCTCTCAACTCATTTTGCTGGAGCTCCTAAATATCTCTCAAGGTAAGTCTGAGAATGTAGCCAAAAAGTTCTTTCAGATTTATGTCTTCAGCTATACAACAGTTCTGTCTGAATCCCATTCAGCTAGGAGTCTTAATGACATCATTATTACGCTGTCTGTACTGGGCTAGATTTTACTTGGAGCCTTCACTGTATTATTACTTATCTTCCTTTCTGTGTGAACAGACGAATACTGCTTATTTAGGGTGGGGACAGTTATCCAAAATTAAGAAGGAATACATTTTTTATTCAAATCAAATTTCCAAGAGTGGTATAAACTATAAGCAAAAGGTAAATCCACGTGAAACTTATAGTTGATGTATAGATATCACATTAGCTCTGAAGTTCCTACTTTCTCATCCTTGTTGTTATAACTGACTGGAGAAAGATAACCAAAATGTAACACCATATTTGGGCTTATTTTCTAAAATTTCCAGGCGTTACTTTTTAAAAGGCCTGCTGAATTTCTGAGTAATTGTAATGTCCAATGTAGAGGAATATTGAATTGGTTTCTATTACAAAAATGTCTTGGAATTTTCCAAATGGCACTTGACTGAACTGATTTTTTTTTTCTTTGCAAAATTATCCAGTGGTAATTTGGCAGCAAACTTCCCTGAAATTTGATAATAGGTCATTTATAAACAAGGTTATTGGCAAAGCAAGTAAAATGCTGTCAGCATGCTTTTTACAGTCACATACAGAGTGATTACAAAGATCGTATAGTTGGATGTTCTTTTTGTTTCAATACATTAATATAGGACTCATACTCTTCTATAAGAGAGTGAAGTATTACAAAGATAAAACAGGTGAGAAGAACTATATCGCTTTAGGCAACTGAATAAATACAGTATATGTGATACGGAATCCATTGATCCTTGTTTTCTTTAAAGTGGTGATTTTATGATTGCTAAAGCATCCAGGAATCTGAATGCACAAAATCTTTGAAAAATCAAAGGATGTTGGAGCAATAACTGACAAAGTGACTTGATTATAAAACACAAAATATAAAAATGTCCATCTTCCAAATCTTGGGAGCAAGCATGACATTTGAAGATTTATTAGAAAATGTGATTAAAATAACACAAAGGGAGAAGGCTATTTGACTCTTTCTTCAAATCTCCAGCCTGTGGACACAATATTTAGATAATTATATGTGTTACATAAAATAATTTGCTTTGTATTAACTAAATAACTAGAGCAATTGAAATATATTGCTGTTGTATTACACTGTTTATGAATGTAGTATCTTGTAATTTGGGAACACACTGAGATTTTTGTCTTTGTATATTTTCAGCTATATTTTTAAATTCTATTAATTCAATAGGCAAATTGTTATCAGTACTCCTTACAATTCTAATTGCTAGCTGTTATTCTCTTTAGCTCTTATGTTAACTAAATTAATCAAAATAGGCAAATTCTTCTGAAACTCTTAAAAATGCAAGACATCACATCTTATTTTTTAAGCATCAAACAAGGAAAGCAGTAAAAACAATTTTCTCACTTTAGGAACCTAGAATGCCAGGGGAAAAAGGCTCATTTCTTAAGTAGAAACTCCTTATACTTCATCTCATTCTGAGAAAATGGAAATATCTGTGAATTTCTTTTGATATTTCTTTCATTTCTTATCAAAAAGGGAAAAATGAATCATAAAATATCCTGCATGCCGTTTCTACATGAAAGGAATGAGCAGAAGTCCCATGTGGCTCTCTCAAGGGGAAGCCCATTATTGTGGTTCTGTAGGTGGTCGTCTGCACTTCGGCAACTGGAAAAGATCAGGTGCAGAATTTGGAAGCTACAGGAGACACAAATACAGAGGCTGAGGTGAAGGAGAAAGAAGTGTTCCCGAGCAGAAAAGTTAGTAAAGAGCACTTTTCTTTTCACTTTGTTGGTGTCTGAGTATCAATATATTTAAAAAAAAATCAACAGAACCAAAGCTCAATAAGCCAATTAATTGGTGCCATACCAGGCTAGATGAACCTAATGAATGAATCCTTTAACAAACTTAAACTTCTTTGAAAAAAGAAGTTCCATTAGTAAAATGTTTAAATGTGAATTTCTGAAAATCAAAGGCATGCTCCTGTTTTGCAAAATCACTATCTGTAGCCCTGTGGTTTATATGTTCTCACTAGTTTCTGTTGCAATAAAGTGAAATGATAATGCTATGTGTCATGACTAACTTCACTGAATTCACCAGGTTTGAAAATTTGTAATTGTGTAACAGTAGAAATGTTTGGATATTTATCCTGTTTTTTTTTGAAGGTAACATTACACAAGGAAAAATAGGAATGGTACTTGAAATCATGCATAGCTGGGGCCAGAAATTTTTCTTTCTGCATTTATCTGACTTTGACACTCTACACTCCTGATACTGAATGGAAAGGTGAATGTATTCAAATCTAATTGATATGGAAATAAAACTTCCAACAAAAGTCAATATAACTAATCTTAAATATTTAATATGTGAATACTATTTTTGTTCATAGTTTGAATTAGTCCTGAAATCCAGAAGGTGCTAAAATCTCGTATGCATGTGGAGTTAGCCATATTCATATGGACTTCTGTTTTGAAGAAGCAAAGCATGCTAGAAAAAACATTAGCAGATGTTAGATTTCAATTCTGTCAGTAGCTACCTGTGACCTTGGATAAGTTATTGAACCTCCCAAAGCCTCGGTTTTCCCTTTATAAATTAGTGGGGGTGAATGGATAATATTTAAGCCCCTTCACAACTACAATCTATTGTTGTAAATCTGTGTTTGTGAATGTATAAGTTAGCCTGAAACCTCTCCTTAGCATTCGTTTATCTGAGTATCAAGATAATAGAGAACACTCTTGGTTTAGAATATATGAAACTCTTCTATTGTGTGTCTGTCTATTGCTGATACTTTTACATCTGATGTCCCAGCTAACTTAATCCCTGAAAGGCAGGGCTTAATTTGCTCTTAAACATTCCTCCATTCGCATTTATGCTGATCTGTGCCTATAAACAGAGGGACTTGCTTCCCAGCAAATATGTCTTTAGTAACATTCCCCAAGTGTAGGAAGAGAGAGTTGTTTCATCTTCACATCCCTCACAGCAAGTTGTTGGGTCTTTGCAAATTGCTAATAGGCTCATTAAACTACAGCTTGTACATCTACCAAGCAAATATGGAGTTGATAATTGTTAACTAAAACTGGATTTCATTTTTCTGGTTTGTAACTTCAATTCTATAATCTTTTAAAACAGTGAGGTTTTTTAAAAGATGCTAGGCACAGGGGAGGAGAAGTCGTGCTTTGCTATTGGTTCCTTGCTGGAAGTTTCAGGCCTGCCAGTGTGCAGGAAAAGTTGGAGGGTGCTCTGTGGCAGGGGTCAGCTCTGGCATGAATGGGTTAAGGACAACTACCTGCTTGAGATTGATTTAAATCAGTAATGGGTCATCTCATAAAGCTGCTGTTACTAGATATTAGCCTGCTATCTCCGTCCTCTGATAGCACAGATAAGAAGTGCTTACCGCAGAGAAGGTTCCTAGAGGACAGATATTGTTTCCTGTACCTCAGGGAGTAAAAAGCCATACTGCTGGATCAGTGACTTTTCCTAACAGCAAGTAAATCCAGGCCTTATCAAGTTACAGCACAAACTGCACTCATGTTTTATTATTCTCATTAGAGATTTAAGGACTAATTCCAGTTGTTAGCGCTTAGCCGTTTAATGTTTTCCATAGATAAGAATTAAGATTCTTCTGGGGGATTTTTTTATTTGCTAAAGCTTGCAAAATATAATGTGGTGATGCAGTTACTGTGATGTAATGCGGTGGATTTTCTAAATGTCCTGAATGTTTTCAAGGCATACATTTTAAAAATTTAAATCTAACGACTGAATTTTTCTGAGTTGGACATGCACTCGTTTCACTGAAACATGACTTTCTTTGTCTGGGAACCCAAATCAGCTCTCCCTCTGAAAAAAGGACCAAAGAGGCTGGCTTTGATGCTTCCATGGCCTGTCTTTACTGCTGTGTGTTTTCTCAAAGTACATTTCATTTAATTAAGACCAAGCATAGGGTCTGATGCAAAAAACCTTGAACAAAACCTATTTTGTAAGTAAGCTTGGCTTTAAATTGTCTCCTTGAAGTGAAACTAACTTTCCTTCCTAACCAGGTGGGGAAAAAGCTGTGACTATCTTGTTCATTCTATTTGTTTTCAAAGAGATTGGAGTTTGAATTTAAAAATAAAAATCCAGACTTCTTGTCAGCTTGGGTACTTAGGTTAAATTCGTGTTTTATGCTTTAGTAATATTTCAGTAATATGTGTCTGCCATTGCCCAAAGTTTCTCTCCCTAACATTCCTGAAAAGAAAAAAAAATCATTTATGAATAAACGAGTTGAATCAAAGTTCCAAGTGTAATAACACGATTACTGGACTTAGTATCCAATGATTGATGATGCACTTCTTAGTTATATTTATTGAAATTATTCTTTGTGAATGAACTCTAGCGGGAAACACCCTCTTTCTCTAACTCTCCTTTTTCTTTGGGTTCATCTTTAGATCTTTCAATTCATATGATCTGTGGTTGCAGGGCCCTTTTGGAGGTAACTGAATTTCAATAATGTAAGTTGTCAAGTTTTGGGATAGGGTCATTTACAAGAAATTGTGCTCTGCATAAATGGAAATTGTTGTCAGTGTGAGGAATTTATTGACTGCCACTTTGATATTTGCTCTTGAAAATAATGTTTTCCCGAGGTTCAGCAGTTCTAGCAGCAATGCTTGTAGAATGGTCTACTTTCTGGTTGTTCAGGAACCCTGAATATGCCTATTTGGTGAGATTAATCCTATAACGATGATAAAATAGCTGCTATTGTTTATTGTGAACTGGGCATGTTATAGTGCCTGATCTGATATATCAGTTGTTTTCAAGGAAATTCTCAATGTGTTAAATTTACTTTTTTAATTTCTTTAAAGACAGGAAGACCTATTCTAGTTAATGTTTTGATGATTCCTGGCTTTGCAGGCTTTGTGCTTGTAAATCCACA